CTTGGGCTTAAGCAATTCTCTTGTCTCAGCCTCCTAAGTAGCTGGGACTATAGGCGCCCACTACAGCGCCCAGCTATTTTTTGTTATCGTTGGCATTATTGTTTAGCTGGCCTAGGCCGGGTTTAAACCTGCCAGCCTTGGTGTATGTAGCTGGCACTGTAACCACTGTGCTATGAGCGCCGAGCCTATTAAATGGCTTTTAAACAAATTAAACCCAAGCAACAGTGCATGTTTAAAATAAAACAAGCAGGGACAGTGACACACGCCTATAGTCCCAGCTCCTTGGGAGGCTGAGATGGGAGGATTGCTTGAGCCCAGTTTGAGTTCAGCTTGGGCAACACAGTAAGACCCCAATTCTAAAAAAATTAAAATAAGGACATTATTCCAAGGATGTTACAAAATGAAAATTTGTTCTCATGTAAAGGATAATTTACTCATTCTTAGGATGCTTCATATGGTAATTTAAAAGCCAGATTACAAACAAGAAGGAGTTCAGAATGTTGTACAGGGGAAAGTTTTCAGTTCATCCAATTCCTAGAACTTGTTCATCCAAAGCTCTTTCATTTGGGTTGCTATTAATGTTCTTTGGAGGTTCCCAGATGAACATTTCTCATCCACAGTAGTAGTGTGAGACTTTAAAACTAATTTGTTTATCTTTCCCTCCATCACCTCAAATGTCAACAGCACTCAGAAAAGTGGATATTTGGATTCATAAAGATTACTACTGGGTAAAGCTGATGCCAGAGGAATCAAATTTTTTATTTAATCAATTTTATATGTACAATAACTACATCCATTTAAAGTGTACAAACTCACAAATACATATATATAACTCTTTCACCAGGATTGAAATATAGAACATTTCCTCTTTGCATTCTCTCTCTCCCTTAGCCCTCAGCCCAGGCAACTAATCTGTTTTCTGTCACAGTAAATTAGTTTGCATTCTCTGGGATTTTATATGTTGGATTTACTGTGTACTCTTGTTTTCTGACTTCTTCCACTCAGCCCAGTGATTTAGAGATTCATTCAAATTGTTGCATAGTATCAGTAGCTGGTTACTTATTGCTGAGAAGTATTCCATTATATGATTATATCACTTTTGATGTATCCGTTCACTCCTTGGGTGGTATTTGGGTTGTTCCCTGTTTTCAGTCATTGTGAATAAAAGCTATGAATATTCATTTACAACTCTTTTTATAGATTTATGTTTTTATTTTTTTAGGAGAATGGCTGGGTCCCATGATGTATTTTTAACTTTTTAAAGAAACTGTCAGTCTTCCAAAATCATTGGACCATTTTATTGTCCCACCAGCAGAGTTTCATTTGCTCCACATCTTCACCAACATTTTGTATTGTCATTCTTTTGCCATTCTAGTGGAATCTTATTATGGTTTTAGTTTGCATTTCCTTCACGATTAATGATGGTTACCATCTCTTCATGTGCTTACTGTTCTTTCCTCTCTCTCTTTTTTTTTAGAGACCGGGTCTCACTTTTTGCCCTCAGTAGAGTGACGTGCCATCATAGCTCATAGCAACCTCCAGCTCTTGGGCTTAGGTGATTCTCTTGCCATAGCCTCCCAAGTAGCTGGGACTATAGGCACCTGCCACAACGCTGGGCTATTTTTTTGGTTGCAGTTGTCATTATTGTTTAGCTGGCTCAGGCTGGGTTTGAACCCGCCAGCCTCAGTGCTTGTGGCTGGCGCCTTAACCACTGTGCTATGGGCGTAGAGCCTGAAACCAGCTATCTTAGTCCAAAGTATGTGTTCTTTCTACTAAGTTATGCTGTAATGATATTCATAGGGAATAACATTTTTCTTCTTCTTCTTCCACTTCACCTGATTGCCTACCTACCTTGTAGCAGAATAAGAAATTATGCTTGCTTATAAGTCAGAGTTGTCTCCTGCTCATAAGCTTTTAATAACTTCCTCTTGGGAAAAGAGAGAACCTGGCCTGGCCATGGTTACGGCATCTCTTGGTACTTCAGCTTTGTACTTCACTCTCTCCTAATGCCATTGCCCTCGCTCTCCTGGCTGTCTCTGGACGCTGTGCCTTGGTGCCTGCTCTTTCTTTGGCTTAGATTCTTGCCCCTCTAAGGGTAGTTCCAGGACCAGGGCATCAGTATCACCAGGGATCATAAGTCCCATCCCAGACCCCAAAATGATTTGAACACATGGTGACATTTTGAGAAGCATTGACTTAGAACATTCTTGTTAAGTTTTTCAGCCAGCCAACTTATATTCGTTCTTCAAACTCACCCCTAGGAAGCCGAGGTCAGCAGTTCTGAAAAGGCAGTCTAAAGACTTGGGGGTAGGGGCTCCCTAAAGCCCTTTCTGAGGTCTATGGGGTCCTTTCTTTCTATCTGTACATCCGTGTGACACAGATTTTCTTCCCCGTCTTCAACCAAAGAAACATATTTCACAGCCTGACTCCATGAGAATCCAGCTGCTTTATAAAGCCAGATGTTCAAAAGACTTGCAAAGATCTCAAACAACGCCATTCTTCACATGAAATATTTTTGGTCCATTGAAAAATACATTTATTTGTCATAAAAATGTTATTTATGTTAGTACATCATAGGTGTATCTTTGTTACTTTAATGAATTGATAGATTTAATATTAATTTTATATTATGAACAGTTACATGTATGTAATGGTTTTGTTATATATAATTTTATATTATTAACATATTAATGTTTAATATTTAGTGGATTAATAAAACATTTCTCAGTTTTAGTTCCCCATACAATAAATACCAATAGCTATAACTCACATGAACAAAAACTTTTTGGCATCCTCAATAATATTTTTAAAATGTAAAAGGGCCCTAAGACCATGGAGTTTGAGGTCCATCATCTTAGATGAGCTAACTGCCCCCTCTCAGCAGGTCTATAATATCATGGGTATAACTTGCCTTTGTACTTATCATTTTATATGAGAATAATCTGCTCACTCACGGGACCATAAGCTCCTTGAGGACTATTTCCTGTTCATCTTTCTATTTATCGAGTCTGACGAAATGTCTAACACCCCCTACATACATGAGGGCTAAGGAGTGTGTTTACCATCCAGTTTGTACAGGGCACTAGACAACCTGCATCCGAGACCCAGCTATAGGGGCAGATGCTTTGTGTATTTTGCTAAAGCAGCACATGGACACGGCCACCAGCATGTGGAGTCTCATTCCGTTAAGGTGTTTCAGCAGCCTGAGTCCCACCTCCTGGCATGAAGCAGGGAGTTCTATGAGGATACTGCCCATTCATGCATGGTCACACCAGACGAGCTGGTAATCTATCCCCAGGTTTGTGGTGCTTTCAAAGGGATGGTCACTCTCAAAGGTGAAAGGCCCACAGAAACAGAAGGCTCAACAGAAGACTCCGTTAGCCATGTCAGCTGCCAACTAACCTCAGCTGGCTCCAGTGTGACACCTAGGAAGGCCATGGGTCATCCTACATCAGAATCCCATGTTTTCAGATCAAATTCTACCACACCTAGCAGTTAGGGACATGATGAAGCCCCATCTCCTGCCCTGTGGACACTCTGACAGGTCCTCTGGCATGGAAGGTTTGAGGCAGCACCCATGTTTGCAATCCAGAAGTTTGCATGTTTGCATGTGGTGTGGGGACAGGGAGCAGTGGGAGCTCATAGTCTCCCAAAGACTCCCAGAGGGACAGTGTCAAGGTTGAGTTGCCCATGTGGCCTCTTGGAAGATGGTCCAACCAGACTCAGATGTCAAGCAGCTCAGTAACACACTCCCCTGTCACTGTCCCACCTTCCTGCCTCCCATACCCTGTTTTCCTGGGACTATGTTCTGAAATAGTGGCACCCGAGCCCTGCCTTCTGGGAAACCCAGGCTAAGATACTCATCACTGTCAAGGAAGGTCAAGTTTTGTTTCATAAACCTTAATTAAGAAGGCAGAAAAACAGGTAATGACTTCCATGTGCAATGAAAACACAGTTCAGATAACCAAACACATATACCCTCAACTAGGGGAGAAAACTCATTTATCTAAAATGATGTCTTCTTCATGATGTCTTTAGATGTCTTCTAAAATGATGTGCTGGGCACAGTGGCTCGCGCCTGTAATCCTCACACTCTGGGAGGCCAAGGCAGGAAGAACACTTGAATGTCAGGAGTTTGAAGCCAGCCTGAGCAAAAGCAAGACTCTTTCTCTACTAAAATGAAAAAAAAATTAGCTGGGCTTGGTGGCAGGCACCTGTAGTCCCTACTACTTGGCTTGGGAGTCTGAGGCAGGAGGATCAGTTGAGCAGTGAGCTACAATGACTCATCTGCACTCTAGCCAGGGCAATAGAACAAGACTCTGTCCCAGAAATAAATTAATAAAAATAAACAATAAAATAAAACAATAACTTTCTTGAGTTTTTACAGTACAGTTTTACTAGAGGGACATCAAATAGTGCAATAATCATCATTCAGAGATCTATCAGGTAGGCTTACTGGAGGAAATTAATTTGGAGCTGGTTTTTGAACTTTGGAAGAACAATGCAGCTTGAATATAGCACTGGAATCCATGTGGTCTTCAGAAAGTATGTGTTCTGCATGAGAGCCATGTCTTTTACCAATGAAATGAAGAAGCTGTATTGTATCAACCTCTTCATTTTTGCCTTCAACAAGAAAAATGAGCAGCCTACCTAATCAATTCAGCTACCTTAGCTAATATTGATTATGAAGAAGATTCCCTTGGCTCCTTTCCCCACATAGAGCCTGACTGCGTGCTGGGGAGAAGCTTATTATGGATAGAGTTGTTAGAGTTTGGGAATTATACTTGCACCCTTAAGTGGGAGTGGAGGGTTGTATCCTGTCAGTTGTCTTTTCAGTACAGGATCTACATATGTGGAGGCTAAAACGAGGAGGGCCGTGCAAATATACACACTCAGTCTCACACACACACTACTGTCTACACACACACACACACACACACACACTACTATCTAGTATCACTGTAATTTTTTTTTTTTTTTTTACTGCCAGAAAAAGTCGGTGTGACTATCTCATTTTTAGGAAGAACACCCTTTAAATTGAATTAAATTTTCTTGCTTAACTCCTAGGCCAGATCCCAAAGGAAACAAAGGAAGTCACAACCTTATCAAAGAAAACAGTAGTTACTCACAAAATATATCGGGCTTTACTCCGTTGGGGATTGACTAGGTCTGAGAATTTGATGAAAACCATCGACTTTGAGCCTCAAAACAATGGAAATACATAAAAGTGTTCGCATACAATTCCATGGGTCCCAGATTCAGCAAAGTGGTTACACTATTTTCTGCAGAGAGGGAGGGTAAAGGGGAGTGTGTTACCAAGCTGCTTGACATTTCTGTCTGGCTGGACCATCTTTCAAGAGGCCACATGAGCAATGGAACCCCAGTTTTAAGGGTAACGGAAAGTGGAAATGCAAACACTTCATTTAAAAAATTATTCTGCAAATGATTTTAACTGTTCTCCCTAGTCACCCTACTCTATCTGCCATCAGGAGTTACTTGTTCATGGAACTTATTAAGAATAATCAGTAAGAAGGAAGGGAGTGAGGAGTGTGGGAGGGAGGACAGAGAAAGAAAGGGACAAAGACAAAAAAATCCTAGACTGAGACCAGAATGACACCTTGTCCAACCAACTTAAAGTCCTTTCAAGAGGACTAGAGAGACCTAAGTACTAAACAATTGGGAGGGGGATGACAGTTCAACCATTCAGCGACTCTCTAGGCACCTACTGTGTGAAGGAACATTTGTGTACAAGAAACTGCAGACCTGTCCTCAAAGAACTTGCTGTTCCCCATGATGGAAGCAAAGCTTTGAAAAAGTGAGACAGGCCTTTTACAATCCCCCACCTCAGTCTTAGCGGTGAGCATGCCTGGGTATTTTCTTTAAGCACTTCATTGTTAATGAGGTAGAAATAATGTTCTTTGTGTTGAAATTCTGAAATGATTGTGTTTATCCTCAGAACCGCTGCTTAATGAATTAATGCAACCTGTTTGTATGAAGGCAAATTAAATTCAAGTGGGTGGATATAACCAACCCCCACATTCAGACCTCAAAAGCAAAGAAAGCTGAAGGCAAAGAGAAAAGAAAAATGCTTCTTTCCCCCACTGCCTTGCAGGTTCTGAAGAAGATGCTTTTGTAGGGCCATGGTTCGCCCATCTCTGCTTGCCCTTTTGGGAGGGAGATACATCCAGAAGATGCACATTAGACACCTACATAGTCCAACAAAAAGGTTTCCTTGGCCAGAAACCTTTGCCATGCCTGTAATTCTAGCACTCAGGGCCGGGTAGATTACCTGGGCTCACAGGTTCAAGACTAGCCTGAGCCAGAGCAAGACCTTGTCTCTAAAAATAGCCAGATGTTATGGTCTGCACCTGTAGTGCCAGCTACTTGGGAGGCCAAGCCAAGAGAATTGCTTAAGCCCAAGAATTTGAGGTTGCTGTGAGCTGTGATGCCATAGCACTCTACTGAGGGCAACAAAGTGAGACTCTGTCTCATAAAAAAAAAAA